TTATGTGAATTCAAGAAGATAATGTGATTAGATGTCAGATTTGAAGCTTAGAATGAAGAAATTGAAGTTAATTCATACATGCATGCATGATTTTGTAAAGTTTCATAATTTTAAGCATGATTCATGTCATCTATGTTGAAATTAGAAACTATAATATACATGCATTCATAGTTCATGAGATTTTGAAGTTGAATTTCAAGTTTTAAAAGAGTTCGGAAACAATTTTATACATGCATGATTTTGATTCAAATTTGGCAATTCATGATACTATTGAGTACATGGTTTCAAGTTGAGTTCATACATGTGTTTCCATGTATTTTCAAGGGTTTGGTTCAATCATGCAAGTTTTTACACTTTGAACATGTATTTTGAAGCTCAAATTCAGTTATGGAAAACTCAGAATTCGACCGCATCACTCAATCGAATAAGGTGTCTCTCGAGCGCGCATATTGTGCATCCAGCATTTTTGCAGAGTCTTGCAGTCAGCTCAAGCGACCAAGTGACCGCTCAAGCGACCTCAATTTATTTTGGCACCTTGGCTCGACTGACCATCGAGCATAAATTCAGACCATCCAGTACTAATTCAGACCATGTGATCCGCTCGAGCGGCCAATGTTGCACTCAGGCAAACTATCCTGTTTCAGCATAATTTGAAAAGTCATGTTCTGTCCACATTTGCATTCTCATTCCTTTCTAAAGCATTTTTAGGCATGAATTCAACCTCCCAAATGAATTAATGAATAAGAACTTGACATAAGAGAATTGGATAAGTTAAGAATGATTTGATTAAGCAACGAGCCTCAATGTGTGTACATGTTTATGTGATATGTAGGTCCGTCCATGAAGCCGTATCAACAACCAAATCAATGTGAGTAATATCTTAGTAAAGATATTTTCTATACTCTATTTTTTGAATGTCTTAATGTGATAAGCTTTTCCGAACCTATGATTTGCAAGTATTAATAAGTTCTATATGTCTGATCAACATGATATCTATTAAAGGAATTGATTAAATATGAATGTATGAAATGGACCCAAGGTCGTTCCGTGTGTTTGATAAGATGGATCCAAGGTCGTTCCGATTATCTGATTATCTGAATATCTGTTATGTGTTGACCAAATGGTCATTATACAGTTGTAATTGATTGGACCCAAGGTCATTCCGCCAAGTATGATTTGTTGTATTTTGTACATCTGTTATACATTGGACACGAGGTCGTTCCGCTATGATACGAAATTAATATGAGAATGATTTTATCTAAGCATTAGACTCATTCATATAACCTCTTTACTTTGATGTTATTCACTAGGCTTTAGCTCACTTCGTTATATATGTATGTGGGATGTCCAGCTCCAGTGAACCTGTGAAAGATTACCCGAGTTTTGTGAAGTCAGCTATGGAGTGCCTCACAGATGAGGCTTTTACCTTGGTTCTTTTGTTTTCTTTTTATTGGTCATGTGTGACCTATACATAAGCTTTGGGATTTGTATGATGACTTATGAATGATCTATGGACATGAAATATCTATTGTGTATGCATGAATGTGAGTTATTAACATGTAGAATGATTTGTTTATGCCATTTATGCACAAGCTCATTGGACAAATTTTATAAGTTTACTTTCGCTTCATGCCCCATATAATTAAATATGATTTGATTTCTGTCTGAGGCCGTAGGTAATCTCATGATTACTGGCCGGTTATGATCCAAACCTCTAGGAGCGGGTTCGAGTCATGACAAATTAGGTGAAGATCCGTCTCCTCCAGTGCTACTTGTTGTGTCATTAAGTCCATTGGTTCAAGGTTCTAAGGAGAAGCGAGAGATTTCTATGAAAAAGGAACATGCACATGACCATACTACATCTGTTGAGTTGAAAGTATACTCTAGACGACAGAAGCATAAGACTGTACCTTTTCCACTTCCTTGCCAATCTGATTCCTCTGACTCAAGTAATCGTGCTGTTGTACTTAGTTCTGATCATAAAATTATTCCTCATCTTCCTATTGCTCTCTGTAAAGGTGTAAGGTCATGTACTCAATATCCTATCTCTAACTTTGTGTCCTTGAATCATCTTTCACCCTCTTATCATGCATTTATATCCTAGCCTTCTTCGGTGTCTATCCCTCAGAATGTCCAAGAAGTATTGAGTGATCCCAATTGTAGAAATATGTGAGAAAATGAATGCTCTAAAGAAAAATAACCCTTGGGAGTAGGTTGAATTACCTGACAGGAAGAAGCTAGTTGGATGTAAGTGGACGTTCATTGTGAAATATAAAGCAGATGGTTCAGTTGAAAGATATAAGACTAGGATAGTGTCCAAAGGATTTACTCAAACTTATGGAATTGATTATCAAGAGACTTTTGCTCCAGTAGCAAAGATGAATTCCATTAGTAATTCTTTCGTTGTCAACTAATTTGGGTTGGCCTCCTCAGTAGTTTGACGTGAAAAATGCTTTTCTCCATAGTGACTTGGAAAAGGAAGTATATATGGATATCCCTTCTGGATTTCCACTTCCCAATAATGGTGCGAAGGTTTGTAGTCTCAAGAAGTCACTATAAGGTTTGAAACAATCACTGAGGGCCTGGTTTGGGAGATTTACCAAAGCTATGCTTAGATTTGGGTATCATCAATGTCAAGCTGATCACACCTTGTTTGTCAAACATTCATCACATGAGAAGATAGCTACATTGATAGTGTATGTTGATGATATAGTATTGACCGGGGATGATATAGTTAAGATGGATAAATTGAAGAATTCCTTGGCTAAGGAATTTGAAATAAAAGACTTCAGAGAACTAACGTTCCGTTTGTTTGGGTAGAAAATATTTTATGTATTTTCTGGTGTTTGGAATAATGGAAAATGAAAGACAACGGAAAACATTTTTCATGCTTAACAGAAAACAAGACTATATGAACAAAAAATATTTTTCACTATTAATAGGCGAAAAACGTTTCCCGGACTAAAGTTTTACCAATGTCACCACACTACCACCACCACTCTCACCTCCACCACCACACCACCATCACCACAGCTACTGCCATTACCGCCATCACCGTCGCTATCACTGCTACCGCCGCCGCCCTACTGCTCCACAACCAATCCACCACCTCCACCTTCACCTTCATTTCACCACCACCACCACCACCAAATCCAAAAAACATTTTTTGGAAAAAAATTTCCGTAGAAAATGCTTTTCATTTTGAAAATGTTTTCCGCCCAAACAAACGGAGCGTAAAGCACTTTAGGTATTAAGGTTGCTCAATCTAAACATGGTATTTTCATCTCTTAACGCATGTATGTTCTTGATCTTCTTAAGGGGACCGGGATGTTGGGGTGTAAACCGGTGGATACTCCTATTGAATACAATCAGACTGGGAGATAGTGAAAGTGATGCTCCTATTGATGGGAATCATTATTAGAGACTTGTTGGTAGACTTATTTACCTCTCATTCACTCATCTAGACCTAGCATATGAAGTCAGTGTGGTTAGCCAACTTATGTATTCACCTCGTGAAGTTCATATGGAGGCTATGTATAGGATTCTGTAGTACTTTAAGTCAGCATCTAATAGGAGTATATTGTTTCAAAACATGATGATTTGCATATAGAAGCCTATACTAATGCAGATTGGGCAGGATCCATCACTGACAAGAGATCCACTTCGGAATACTACACATTCGTAGGTGATAATCTTGTGACATGGCGTAGCAAGAAGCAATTTGTGGTTGCCAGGTCAAGTGCGGAGTCAAAATTTAGGTCGCTCATGGAATATGTGAATTGTTGTGGTTGCATTGCAATCATTTTTAAAAGAGTTGGGTTTTGATCAGAAAAGTCCTATGAAACTGTATTGTTTGTGACAATAAAGCTCCAATTAACATTGCATACAAACACAATCCAGTTCAACATGATAGAACAAAGCATGTGGAGGTTGATAGATATTTCATCAAAGAGAAGTTGAATGAGAGTGTGATTTGTACCCTGTTTGTCAAGACGGGATCCACTTGCAGATATTTTGATCAAAGGAGTGTCTAGTACATTGTTTTTCTCTGCCCTTGACAAGTTGGGCCTTCACAATATCTTTGCCCCAACTTCAAGGGGAGTGTTGGTTATGTGTTAGTGAGAAGGGTAGTATTGTAATCTTTTCTACGAGTATAAATATTAAAGAACAGGGAAGAGAACCTTATGTGCTCTCATTCTCTCTTTTCCTCAGAATGATGTTTCTCTTCTCTTCTCTTCTCTCCTCTCTCCCTCATTTCATTCTTTTTATCTTTTTCATTTAATTCTTCTGGATCTCACCAACCAAACTGACAATTCCGCTGCTAGATGATATCTGAGATCATCAAAGGGAGATAATCATGAGGAAATTATTTCACAAAGTTTCAAATACTATCCAAACAATAAGAAGCAACAATTCCATTAGCATTCCATCCTCAAACAACATTCTCAATTTCTCATCTGTCTTCTCTATTTCTCTATACACTAGGCAAAATTTGAGCATTCAACAACATAAAATTAATTACTCCATTTTGAATATATTTCGTCAATTAGCATGAGTTTACAAATGCCAAATTGAAACTTGATTAACAACTTTGAAAATAACTCTTAAAAAGAAGAGAAAAAAATAAAAATTCCAAAACTTCAGCACAAATAAAAGAACAAATTCAAGATTCATCAAGTTTAAAACAGCTTAAATGGTAAAATTTTAGACAAGCAAACACAGGAATACAGACAAAAGTTGCTACTGAAATTTTTCTTCATTCCACATAATTTTGGTACGTCATTGGGAAATGCATCAAGAAAACAACGAAATTGTGCAGGGAGATCATAGAGAATAAGACATGAACACCAGGGTCTCAAGTCCCAGAATACAGCGCCAAAGCCTAATAATACTACAGAGGAAATTCTGCCATCTGATACATCCATCACATTACTTGTTTTTGTAGCAACTACCTAGACACACACACAGTAAAACTGCAAAATATAGTAAAGTTTGCTTACATGCACAGATTGCATTTGATGTAAATCCGCAAGAGCTTTTTGCCTCGACTGTCAGTATCGAAGAAAGGGGAGGAGGGATCAAATTAAACACCAAGAAGAAACAAAAGAAAACATTCAAAACAAAATTACTTAAATGAAATTAATGGGTGCATGTTACAATACTGCAATAATTTAAATATACTACAACAACCAAAAGTTTAAAATAAATAAAGAATGACAAAGAATAAATAAATAAATAACAGCTAAAAACTGCACAGAGAAAAACTGACCTCTTCTCTCAAACAGAAGAAACTAAAAATGATTCCAACCAAGAAATATTACATTAATCCATCAGAGACATGCAAATATCTTGCGCAAAAAAACCTCTTGAATAAATCCTTTATACATTAAGAATGCAAACAGGTGCCAAAAGTTGATACTAAGTTACTAACAAATTAGCATGAGAACAGCTAACAACTATGACCAAGTAGCCTGCAATTATATGAAGAAGAACAAGACCACATCAACTCCTCTACCTCTAGTATGACTGAAATTAGTATTTCACTATAAATTAATAGAATATTAGGGCGTCAAATCAATGTGGGAATTACCAACATTGAGATTGTAAAATCATTAATTAGACCTATTCACATATGCAACCAAAAAAAGTGCCATAAGTTTGAGAAAAAATGATGTTGAAACAAAAATGGTCTAACTGAGCAAAAAGAAACAAAAATGGTCTCCAAATCCAAAAATAATGTATGACTACAAGAATTGAGGCAGCACAGAGACAGGATTGACAAATTTATACATACCGATTGGTTGGTTGCCCACCGTTCATAGTAATGAGTGTATCTCTCTAAAGAGTTCTTAGCCATCTCTCTCCTCCGTTCAGTTTCATCATACTACAACAACAAAAATAAAATAACCACCAACTGTTTGAAACACCAAAGCATAAATGTAGCACAAAGAATTTGGTATATAATATTTAAAAGTTAAAGCAAACATGAAAATTCCATTACCGCTCCCTCTTGTTTAGCTGCCTCATAACGATTACACGCATAGAAACCACCTGTCCTCTCACCATGATCGGACCATGCACTAACACATAGCCTGCATGTAAGATGAGTAAATACTCAAGTGACATCACATCATATATTATATATAATTAAAAAAATATCACATCCCAACAATATTGAGAAAAATGCCACGGGAAAAGACAATGCGCACCTCACACACAAAGGTTGAATAGAATAATAACAAAAAATATGCCAGGAGGAAAATTTTAATTTCCCAAATATAATTCTCTATATAAAATGAACCTGCATATAAAATTAGATAAGCAGGTATCAGTGCTTACCAGCAGAATTCAAATTTGCAAGGGGGCGTGCATGTCATGTGCATACAACCTTGGTTTTTCTCAATTGGACGTTTGCACTTTGGACAAGGCTTGGAATTAGCTAGTATCCTGACAGTCAACATCAAATATTTAGCATTTCACACATGATATAAGACACAACATAACAAGAATCCTGCTTTCCTTAAACACGGAGAAAGAAAAAAAAAAAAAAGAACAACAACTACAACAACAACAGCCCCCTCCAGTTTAATAGATGATTTTGTTTATAGTTAACAAAAATACATAAAAACAAAAAAAAAAAAGCATTAAGCATCAAGAATCAAACCAGAAAATTAAGTGCATAAACTTTTTCTTCAAAAAATGCACTTCTAATAACCCCATGATCTCAGCAATGAGCCAATGAATATTTTTTTCCCATTCCGCTCTATCAAGGGATATATGCTCACTTCAATTATTTAATATCCTTTTTATTATAGTTTACTATTATTAAAAAAAAAAATAAAAAAAAATCAACAAAATTAAACCTTGTATTTTAAACATTAATATGGGCACACTTATTCATTAAATTATTAAACCAAGACAATCGTGATGAATTCAACTCCAGTTTTTCTAACATAAACGCTTCATGTATAACACGCCATTTTTTTATTTAGATTTACACAATTTTAGATCTTATAAACCATCCCCAACTATTTTTAATGACACAAGACATGATTGAACTGGTCAATCAAACCAACGAACCACAAACCAAGTGCCTTCAGTATTTGACCTCAATTAGCATTCAAATATGCCATCATAAATGGATAGAACAGAAAAAATCATTTATTTCCACTCCAGTGCACTAAAAACATGTCACAAAACTTCAAGAAAGGCATCACGTTAGGAACTTAAGAATGAATAACTAGTCAAAAGAATTATATGCCATAGAGAGCACGAGTCGAATTAGACGGACACTTTATCATACAATAGCCAACGGATTATGTGCATCCACCAAAAAAGCATTATTGCAAAACTTCAGCACTTGGCTTATGGGTCCATTGGCATAGACATAAAAAGGAAGTGCTCAATACAACACCGTACGATCAAGAGATGAGCACTTCCATGTAAAAATTATAATTATCATATAATGAGATTCAGTCAATTAAAAAAAAAAAACAAAGAATTTTTCTTATGTATATATTTCAGCACTGAAAAGACAACTATAAGCTAAAGCAACCAAACCATGGGTGAAGATTATGAATTAAGGAACCAAACATGGGCAGAGCTAGGTACAACTTGAACCCACTAAACTAAACTTTGAAAAAAAAATTAGAATTATATAGTATTATGTCAACAATTTAGTGGTTTACATAAATTAACACCACTAAAATTGTTAAAATAGAGTGATTGTTGTGAACACATGCAGTAGTTGATTAGTGGATACATGCATGTATTAGTGGATGACCATTAGGTTACTTCCTTTATAATCTCTACTTTTTGCTATTCTCTACAACCTCTTGATGTTCCACATTGTAACACTAATAAGCACAGACACTTCTACAGAAGAAGCGTGTCGTGTCTGCGGACACTCCTAAAAAGTGTCCAACACTTCTTCAACCTATCATAATTAAAAATGTAAATTTATTATATTGGACACTTTACAGACACTTTCGAACACTTTGGCAACATTTCTTGAACCCTCCGAACACAATCTACGTGGTGAATATGTTTATAGTAACAATCTTCTATATTCTTTGGAATGCAACTTACTCACTCTAAATATATTTTTAAGCATTTATAAGATGAATACATCATGTATATTTCTATATTCTATAACTGTTTTTCATTATTTAGCTTGCAATTGTTACGTGAATAATATTTTAATGTTTAAGTTATGAAAAATATCATATATGAAATTTAATTCTAATTAGTATTATATTGTTTTTTCATTACCTTAGAATAAACTATTCACATATAATAAATTTTTAAAAATATAAATTTTTTGTGTCGCAGGCATGTCTTGTCCTGCAATTTCAGAAAATCACATGTCATCATGTCCGTGTCGTGTCACATGTCCGTGTTTGTGCTAGTTAACCTTTCATCTTTTAGTTAAGGGCTTATTATATAAAGAGGTTTTGTTAAGTTAACTTGGGAGATAAAATGAATAATATAAAGGGTTGGATGATCTTGACAATCGATTCTTGATGGTTCCTAAAAAACTATTTATATATATTTGCGTCCTAAAATTTCATATTCTCTGGAATTCCTCTTTATATTTCCTTAGTTTTATACAAGCAATGCTATACTTGTCATGTTTTTTATCATGTTTTATCTAATGTAGCATAACTACTTAATACGGCATAACTAACTACTAACTAGGTCAAACATGTTTTATCTAATGTGGCATAACTACTGAGTGGTTCAATATGAATGAGACTCATGTGGAATCCATTACAACAATCATTATGGATATGAGACCGAACATAAAACATGATACAAATATGGTAAGTGTACCATTATTGACATAACAAACATCGTGGTGTCATTTTTTTATTTTAAGTAATGATATACACAAACACAATTTTTATACAAAATGATTTGGCTTAATGCGAAAATTTTTGCTTAATAAAAAAAATGCCTTTTTAAGAACTCCAAAAAAAAAAAAAATAAATGTTTTGAAATTTTTTTTTATTTTTTTTTTTTTTTTTTTTTTCTTTTGGTATAGAGTTTTTCTTTCTTAAAAAAATAATAATAAAAGAAGAAGTTAAGATCAGCCTTCTTTCTAAGCATAGAATTCTTAACGTATTTACAAGACCTTTGTGAAGAACCATTTTGTCTCTTCTCTCACTCTCTATTCAATTAATTCAAAATCGCAGTCTCGGTCTCTTTAATTTTGTTATAACTAATAATATATTCCTTAGTTTTGTACTGGTAATTAGATAAGTTTGAATTACCTTTGTGATATCATTATATATGACATTACAATATATTATAGAATATTATGTGAAATTTTATTTTCATGACTTTTGTAGAACTAAAAATATGCACTACTAAACAAATTTTCTGGCTAAACCACTGGAACCAAACCATCATGTAAAATTATAGGTTATTGAGCAGTTAAAATATTAAGATCATTAAAAAAAGCTGTCAGGTTGTTTAAGGGTTAGCAGAAACACACCAAGAAAACCTACACACTCCAAGGCTTATATATGCGTAATGTGCAACATCAAAAACAAAAAAATCAGCAACAAAAAAATCCATCAGAATCTCCTTTTCTTTCACACATCTAAAAATCAATTCAGTGGTTACATTTAGGCACATGGGCAAATGAACAACAACAGAGTCTTAAAAAGTAATGGAAACTCAAGAAACAAAAAGAGGGAAGAAATATTTTTTTTTAAATAAAATAAAATAAAAGTTTCTTGTAAGCTCATGGCTTATAAAATGTAAAAACCTGATGCTAGAACTCATACAGTAAGGTTCCCAAAGCAAGTGCACCCCACAACAACCCTGATTCTTTTAAACCCAGCTAGCGATAAATTTTAAGTGTTGAGTCATAAATTCCTTGATCGTATGAACCCAGCTAGCAATAAATTGTAAGTGTTGAGTCATAAATTCATTGGTCGTATCAAATTGAAGCAGTATAGCCCACAATCAGATTGCATTCACATTTTCGATAGTTGTTAGTGGATGCTTAAACTAAGAATGCAAAAATAAAACGTAGTCTTGGTCCGTTAAGAAATTTTTTCCCTTCCTTGCTTGAGTTAAAAAAAAAAAAAAAACATTTGCTAGTGAAGATCTATTCTCATATGAAAACATAAATAATCATCTAACCTAGAAGACCAAAAGCAATTGGACTAACCATATGTTGAGACACAAAATTCACCAAAGAAGGGTCAATTGAGCACCAAGCAACAAAAAAGTTGTACAAAAGGTTAGAGACAAAAGATGAACATCAGATAGAAGGTCTACACACTAAGAAACAAAAAATCATACAAAATATTGGGGGACAGAGGATGAACTTCATAAACCTCCAATTTCATAATGTAAATTCTTCCCCAAAAAAATAAGAGACATTCATTCTTGAGTTCTTTGAAATAAATAAAGAAAAAAGAGTGGTGATGGTGCAGCTTTTAACTAGATGGAAGCCCATTATCGGCATTGGAGGCATAGGGTGAAGACCATGGGTTCATTTCTTGGAGCGAAGACTTTTGGACCCACATGTATAATTGGTAGATTTATTAGCTTTGGAGTTTTCGAAAACAATTTTATGAGTTTGCAATTCATACTTTTGTATTTTTAGTGATTTTTTTAAATATTTTAATCAAATTTTTTTTTTTTTAACTTTTTAGATCCGCTTAATCTTGATCTACTTAAAAAGTATAAAATTTATACAAAAATCATTAAAAAAATTCATTGAATACAACAAAATACGAAAATATACTGAATTTTCCTCCTCTCTTTTTTTTTTGTATTTGGTGAATTTTTTACAGGTTTTTTTCACAAATATTATACTTTGTAAGTATCTAAAAAATAAAAATACAAACCGTAAACTACTAACAAAATTCACTAAAAACATAAAAACATAGAAAATGAAAATAAAAAACTCAATTTTCTGAAATGTAAGTTAAAAAAAAGAAGTTGCATTTAGGATTCAAATAATTATTAGCTAGGATATTTTTTATTATGTCTCCAAATAATAATAGGTTTAGTTGCCTATTTTAAATTTGAGTTTTTTGGTTTATAAATATTAGGTTTTTGGCATAGTATTATTTAGTTTTGATATAATAATTGTGTGAGAATTAGGTTGTGGCCACCTTTATTGTTGTTTTTCTCTCTTCCTCTTACATGATTGTACATCAATTTGGTATCCAAGTCCGAGCTTTGATCCTTGTTTCCTTTGTTTCCCTTCCTCCTTCCATAAGTATTGTAAAACAGGGGTGGAACCCTTAGCAATCATCATCAGACGTCCATCGTTGTTACAACCTTTGCAGCCTCACCTTGCCATCGTCGATCATGGTCGCATATTGACCCACCCTCTGTCTGCTTTGCATGCGTTGAAGCCCACCTAGGCTTCGACAACCCTCTCTCAATAAGAACTGAACTAGTACTCACGTACTGGAGAAGACAACATATAGGAGGTCCAAAAGTGGATCAACTCAACCCATATTTTTTACAAACAAATCCTCCAGCCCCTCTATTAGCCTCACTTGCTAAGCCACCAAAAAAAAAAATTCAATGAGACAAAGCCCAGCACTGCCTAAGAAGAAAGTGGGTGAAAAAAACAAGGGTAACAGTCATGAGTTGACCTTTCAAGTCCAACTCCATGACGTTTGCATGTGTGGTGACCTTGAAGTGCTCAGTCAAGGCCTTTTGGAGTGCCCATTAGTGTGGCATCGAGATTCCATGTCAGTGGTTTGACACTCCAACATGACCTGGTGGATGGCCTCGAGTCGAACAGCACACCCAACAGCATGCTCAGCGCCGCACGCACACGCCCAACCAAGTCGGCATGTTAGTGCAAGCCAAGCAGCTTGGTGGGGCAATTTGACTAAACCTTTTGCATAAGGTTTTGTGGGGTGAAACGATGGAGTTTTCATATGAGATTTTTATTGGCTCATGAGAACATGTAGTTTCCCATAGTTAAAGAATATGATGTTTGGAAATTTGTAGAATTTTTGAAAAATTATTACAACTACTCAAACATGGTCGATGTTTCCTTCTATTAGTCAGCAAATGGCTCAAGATGAAATTTTAAGGGTGTATAGTGTGCTTCTACCTACCTCCCTGCCCAAAGTAGGCTTGAGGTGGGCAACCCCAAGGCAACTTGAGGGCAAGACTTTGGCATCAATAAGATTGTCTAAGATCTCCATGTGGGTTGAGAGCCCATGAATAGCGTCATCAAGAGGCGTGAATGTCGACACTACGCGCACATCCTAGGCGTGAGGTTTGGGGTACACACCAGCTATGCCTCGGGTTGTAACATCTTAGGGAATCATCCTAGACTAAATAGGGTACTGAGGCACCACCAATGCCTCATGTGCCAACTCACGAACATGCACTTGGGTTCGGCCATGCTTGTGGGGATGTGGCCTAAAATAAGCGGATTTGTGGCAATGCCGATAATCGTGGAAAGGCATGAAACTCTACCATCATGCGAAGCACCTTGTACTAAGCTTGTGGGTAGTGTCATGCTATTGGTGGACTACGGACCAACATTTCCTTGTGCAACATGCAAGAGTTAAATTTGTAGATTTCTTGTGGTTTAGGTGCAAGCATATTCAACATTATGGTAGATGGAATACAAGTAGCTCTTCAAATGGAGGAAAAAATATGAAAAAGGACTCCTCTGCGCACTCCAATGGACACTTTTACAAAGAGTGAGGACATTTATGGATCCTAACCGTGGCAAACTCCTTAACAAATCACCTAGTACTATACTTACTCATTCTTCGTACAAAGATAATACTAGGCCCAAGTGCTTTAGTTGTCTAGGTTGGACACCATCAGGACTGCCCTTCTCCAAAAATTAATGTGCCTATTGGTTCAACTATTGTGGTGAACTATGAAGGCACTATAGAGGTAAAAAAAATAAAAAATAAAAAATAAAACAAGAACATAAGGATTAGAAGATTGATGTGCAAGTTGTTGATCCAATTGACCTCGCGTTCGATGATGATCCCCTTGATCTTTGTTGGCTTCTATTAAAGATGTAAATAAAACCGAGAAAGTTCCACAAAAAAAATTATTCATACAAAAGAGAACTGTTGTGATACACTGTGCTCTCTAGTGATTAATATTAGAAGTTGCACTAATGTTGCATCCAAAAAACTGTTAAAATTTTGGGTTTGAAAGTGAAGTTGCATCCTGTAAAAATTTATGTATTATTGATTGATGTTTATTGATAAATGTATTACAAGATTGATTCATTACAATTCCTATACAATCTATATATAGAAGAAAATGTGGTAGTAGGTGTAGTGGAGGTGATAGTGGGTTAGGTGAAGTGGAGTGTGTGGTGAAGTGGAGGTAGGTGAAGTGGAGTGTGTAGTGGAGTAGGTGAAGGTAAAGATAGGAAATTCTAACACATCCTTAACATTTGTGGGTAAGTGAGGTTAGAGGTGGTCGGTTGTTGACCTCTGCAAAGATGGCAGGCACTTCAATGGCTCGAGATCACTAGAGGTGAAGAAGGAGAAGACTGAAGCAACCTTAGAGATAGAGATAGAGACAGTGACAATGAGAGACCTTGAACACTAAAGGTTTATGCGTTGTGATGTTATATTATGTTGTGTTGATGATTTGTGGTTGCATGCATGATACCCTTATATAGATTCCAAGAGTATTGAAGCCCAAGCTACCTCGGGATAGGTGGCAAGTTCTCCTTAGCTGGACAAATTGGTGATATCAGCCCTACTATTGCATCCTATGTTCAGGCCTTGGGAAGGTTGTATCAAAGGAGTTGCAGTGTAGGTATGATACCTTGGGAGCTGTATCATGGCATGCAACAAGCGTGAGTATAAGGTCAACGTCCCCTCTCTCTAAGTCTGGTCAAGGTGGAGTTGTCATTGTAGGAAGACAACCAAGCAACCTTGATGAACCCGTGGTCTTAGCCTCCAACCCACAATCCTCCAATGATCCCAAGCGAGAGTGCATACGCCCTACTCCCAACCTAGGCAACCAAGTGAACATAAGTGAGCTAAGGGCCAGCTATGTTGCCATTGAGCAAGAGGGAGTAGGGAGAGTGTGTTCCCTATTAGGATGAGGTATGAAGGACCATGCGAGCACGGTGTCACGTCCTGCCAAAAGTCCTAGAGAATGACTATAAAATGTGACACTAAATAGAACAATCTAGAATTCTCTAGAACAGTCAAGAACTAGTACATTATTCTTGTATATTCTAAAATAGGATATTTGAGAAGATGAGAGAAGAATCTAGAATCCTCTCCACCTTTGTATCTCCAGAATATTCCTTATAGCCTATATAAAGGAAAGGACCTCATTTGTCCAAACCATCCAAGTGAATACAAAGCAAACATTCTCCAAGAGCTTCTCTCTCTAGAATTGTTTCTCTCTCTAGAAATCTTCAAGTGTGTGTGAATCTCTCCTAGCTCTTTTCCAAGAAGGATTACTTAGGTGCAAACCAGGCGAGTGTCAATCATCTAAGGCAGCACGGTTGGCTTGGAAAAACTAAGGTCGTGACAGTGGGCTCTAAGTGAACCATGGAGCTGCCGAGCGAGTGAGCTTAGCTCTGTTGCACAAGCAATGTCAGGCTCTTCATAATTTAACTCATTTGCATTGGAGTTCTTATAACTAGGTAGGGCAATAGCTGCACTAGTGAGCCCCACACTTCTTAGCCTGTACACACCCACTTAAGCTAGGCATACAACTCCAACTGGTTGTGGTACCTTGAAGGTCTACCACATAAGAGTGTGATATTGATGATGTGGCACCCATAGGGCTCACCACATGTCGGCTGTGGTACAAGTATCCACAACCTTATTATGTGGCATGGATCACCAATACCAAACTTAAGGTCAAAATGTAGTACTTTATGACATTGAATATTGACAAGTTGAAAGATACAGTATTGTATAATGTTCTATCTCTTAAGTTATGTCATATTCTTCAAGGTCATACATGGATTTTGGGACTGTTAAATTGAAGAAAATTTATCTATTGTTTCGGCGTGTTTCTTTCAGATGGGATTCTTGGACATGCTTCTAACTTGCCGGAGTCGAGTTCTTTCCAACAAAAGAGAATTGATGGTGTTTCCCTTGATGGGATAGAAACCTATTATCAGCTTTGGAAGCATAGGGAAAGCCTGTAGGTCCATTGCATGAACCGAAGACTTTTTGGACCCACAAATGTTTATTATTAGTATTTCAAATTTAAATAATTATTAGTTAGAATGTTTTTCATTATATTTCCAAATAATAATGGCTTAAGTTTCCTATTAGGGATTTTGGTCTACAAATATCAAGTTTTTGGCAATGTATTATTCCGTTAAACCTCCACCTTTTTTTAAAATATCCTAAATAGTTTTTGTACGTTGATCACCCTTTTCAAGGAAATATAGAATATAGAAGGAACATTTAAATAAGTATGATTTTTTGTCGGATCATAAAAATCCCCTATTTGAAGATCTCTTCCTTCTCTTCGAGATCAAACACCAATTGCAACAATTCAGTAGATGGTTTTGATATAACAATAGTGTGAGAATTAGGTTGTAAGGCCACCTAGAGTGTTGTTTTTCTCTCTTTATTCTACATCAAAGATTCTTTGGAACAGTAATTAACATCTTCATTACAGTAGCTACACTATTCAGCATAAAAATTAGAATATCCACCAGAAATAAATTAGCAAGCACAGTATCAAGCATAGAAATAACTTTCTACGCTTCAACAGATGCTCTACCAATTCATGTTTTCAGACTCTGCGCTGTTTTTCAGAATCCACTTGGCCACAGTGCCACAGTCCACAGGACGATGAGCTTCTTCTGTACACTGCAATTTCAGCTTAAAACAAGAAGCTTTTAATCTCATATAAAGCAAAGCAAAACACAAAACTATAACCATAAACTTCCATGCAATCCAAAAGAACCTTACATTCCAACAAAAGGCATATGAACAGAGGCAGGCAACGTCATAGCCTCCCGTACCAGCAACAAATTCAATGGCATACTCACAGCTTGGGGCAGGACACCATTTTGTCTACCCAAAAACAAGAAAAAAAGGGAAAAATTGCAGACAGTTGAAAGAAAAAAAAAATAAAAGAAATAAAAAAAACTGGTAGATGGCATAAAAGGAAGAAAAATAGATGGCATAATAAGTTCTGAAGTCACAATCCACTTCAAGGGTAATCGAAAAGCATGCAGCATACTAAAAAGTGAAAGCACAGCATCCAATTTTTTTAAGATCATTATTTTTCTTGTGCACGTGCAAAACATAAACAAATAGGCAGATGTATATGAAAAGTTGACGAGAAAAAATCCAAGTAATTCCTCATTTTATAAAATGATTTTAAAACTTCAGAAATTAGTTTATGGGTACATATCTAACAAATAAATACAACTCCTACAGTGTTAATATTGAGTTTTCCATGCGAAGGCACACAAGGAAAGAGAAAAAGAAGCTAAGGAAAACTCCTAGGCACATTGTACATCACAAAACAATGGTAGTGTCTATTAAAAACACTCCAGAAAAGCTGCATCACAGAACAGAGCAAACAATGTATGACCTTCCACATGAAAGTTAATAATTGATATGTCTGCACATTGACGAACAAAAAAAATTAGGGATAAAAATTGTTAACATTCTTTGGAATATAGGACATGATTGCAAACCATAAACTAGTTGGATATTCAATATATAAACTATTTCTAATTTGCATGTAAATCGGTAATGTTAGCTTGCCAGCTAAATCAGTGCAATTAAAATTATAATAGCATAAAGTTAAATTATTGAAAGGGCAGCTTGGCACAATGGCAAGGCTTGCCATTATCATTAGTGGTAGTGTGGGTTTGAATCACCAAAACCACCTCTCCAGAAATGGAGCTAAGGTTCCATACATCTTGCTAGACTCTACTTTAGCGAGAACCTTGTGCACCAGGTCGCCCTTTTTTTATGTAAGTTACATGATTGCAAACTTCAAAACAGTTTGACATTCAAAATCCAAACTATTTATCTTTTTTAACTTAAGATGGTGGTAGTTTACATTAAAATACAATTTATGCTTTATATGCCAAGCATCTTATTATCAATTAAACCTAGTTCTTTCGCATCAAAATAAACTCCAAAATTAATCGGTACTTTTTTTATTTATTTTGGTTTATGAGAATTGATAGCTGTGACAAAAGGGAAAACGAATAATTGTTAAAATATTACAATTCAAAATTCAAGAAGTTACGAATTGCAAGTTCAAATCTTAAATTGCAAGAAATCACACAATTCACACGCAATGATCAAAATTTCGTCTCGAGATGTTGTTTGGGTTATTTACAAAACAAAAACGTTTCAGAACGAAATGAGAAAAGAATTTGAAAATGTTCAAAAACAAAAACTAAATCCTATGTAAGTGTTAATATATTCTCCATAATTAAATAATTATACATGTTGAGGTCTACAAATATTGAAAACTCGAGCTCATAAACAGAAGGGTTAGACTTAGTAGGGGAAGAGGTTTGCTATTATAAGAAAAAACTTTCATATTTGCAAAATTCTGGTAATAGTATGGATGGAAAGAGAGGAGGAAATGAAATTTGTAGTAACAAAGAAAGAGAGCAAGTGGCTTAATCATGCTCTCAGTCTCTCCTTTTATCCTTTCTATTTCTCAAATTCTCTTAGAAATTTAAGATTTTTCTTTATTATCACATTTTTATCCTAACAAAAAGTGACCTGGAAATGATCATTACTAAATATTTTTAATAGGTGTAGAAACAAATCATTGTTTCAGTACGTCTTGTAGTGTTTCGGTGCATTTTGGCATATTTTAGTGGAAATATTGGAATTTCGAGATTCCCTATTGTTTCCTTGTTCGCAGGTCAAAAACAATTTTTGAGATTCGATAGTCTGTCGTGTCCTACAAGTAACAACCCAACAATTCCACTTTGTATTTTTTTTTTTTACCTTCCTTCTTAGAATAACCTGCCCAAAGCCCCTTTTTAAGGGCTTGAAAGTATTCTTGACTACTCTTCTTGTTCTCTTTGTATAACCATTGCAAATCTCTAGGACTTCTTATCAAGTGAAAGAATTTGATCTTTGCATCTACCAAATTTCAAAAGCATCTTTTTTGATATGATACTAAAATAGGAAACATGTTGAAGTCGACCTCTCTTGTTTTCGGTAAGTAGGATTGTGTTAAGGTAAGATTTTGGTTATTGTTTTAATTTCGTACTCTTTTATCAGAAAATAAATGTGCTAAGAGAAAAGGAAGGGATTTCACAAATCAACATTAGATAATTGTACCTGCACCTTTGATTGCAATGGTGGTTACTATGATGCACTACAATGCAATTACCAAGGTTGCACACATAAAGTAGGTGTAATTCGAATGAAGCATCAACTAGCAGACCTCACATAAATGTCTCTAATCATTTACTGTTAGAATTTACCATCACCTACCACCACTACCACCTCACCTACTCCACTAAACCTAACCCACTACACCACTACCACCTCACCTACTCCACTAAACCTAACCCACTACACCACTATCACCATCCACTACACACCATCCACTACACCTACATCTATATAAGGAACCATTTGTAATAGATAGGAAATGTATCAATAGATCAATCTATAACAATCAATAATACAATCATTTCTCTTTATACATTAAATTTCTACATTTACACATTCCAAAAGACGATATACTGTTTTTTATTTTTTTAAATTTAAAAATAAGAATAGACATAGTAACATTGATTCTAAAACTGACCACAACCATAATTATAAATGTAATTATTGGGAAATGGATATCGGGGAAATTTATTTGAATGAAATTATTAAAGCTTGTCTAACTGTTTGTGACTTCTGAAATTCTTTCGAAAAATTTAGATGAAATGAACAATACAAATGGAGAAGGTAATGCAATTAATAAGTCAATTAGTTTCAAATAGATCACAACATTGTTGGGTAGAAAAACAATACAGATTCACATTTTATGAATATATAAATAAAAACATTTAAAATATTAATAAAGAAGGTGGATCCGGCCTTTAAGATTCATTTATGGCAATGATTTGGCCATTTGATTTTATTAAACTCACCATGTGCTACGATGATGAAATCGCTAAAGCATACAGTACAATCATGGCTTCAGAAAAAGTAATAAACTAATGCATCAACATATTGGTAGTATATTTTTCATTAAACTTGTCAACCTATTTTTTGATTCACAATACAATCCGTAAGTTTGTGAAGGGATGTAATTGGTTCAGTCGAGAATTAGTGGAAATTGACCACCAAACCAAACTTTTCAGTTTTGCCTATGCATGGACCGAAACAGACTGATTGGTATAAACCACCAAACCAAACCATTGTGTCTTTGGTCGGTTAAGTTTGGTTCGGTTTCATCAGTTTGGGCCTTCACAAATTAGACCAACTTTTATTATTAAAAAGAATGTTGGGCCTAAGTCTTTGACAAAATAACAATCCACCAAAAGTCTATAACAAAGAAAAATCAAATCCCCCGAATCCTCAAGAAACACACAAGTAAAAATCAGAAGATCCTGTACTCTTAATAGGATTTTCCATTTTTTACATTTTTATTCTTCTTTATCTTTTAAATACATAAAAAAGCATTTCACTATCTTCTACTGTTAAGCTAAAAATCACAAATCATGAAACAAAATCTAAAATACATTGGGACCAACAAAGATTCTGATAAGTGTTCATAACAAAAAAATAAAAAAATAAAAACAAAAACAAAAACAAACAAACAAACAACAAAGATATTGGTAGAATATCTTATTATATACACTTCAAACAAAGACAATGACAATACACATAACGAAACCAAAACATACAAAGAAGTATTTTTCAAAACTATACATATTGTTAGATCGGTTTCAGTCCAAAATGCTTTCATGTTTTAGATAACCGACATCAAACTGAAAATTGAATTTTTTAAAGTAAAAAAACCAATCAAACCAAACTCCACTAGAAAACAAAACAGAACCGGCGGGTTTTGACCAGTTCAATCAATCCAATCAGTTTCTTTGGTTTTGCTTAAACCCAAAAGGGCTATCAATTGTAGAGACAAACCCCATTTGACAAGTTCAACTAAACCAAAACAGGAAGGAGGCATATCCCAAATATACCTTTCTATTGTCTTCAATATAAGAACGTAGAAGGTAACGCGCAAACTTCTTCTTATCATCATCAGATGCCAATAAATTGATCATATCTTGACTGATAGCTGCACCACAATATGGATCGGGGCATCTCAGCATCAAACATCCAGGGCCACCATCGATGGATGTTTTCATGTAAGCTAACACAAAAAATAAATTTGTATAAATATAGATGTTATCTTCATCGAATCTAGAAATATGTTAATGGCATGAAAATATGATATTCTAAGATACACTATTGGGCATAAATGTCTTCATTGATATATATTTTCAATAAGCGAAGAATTAAACATATGTGAAAACATGAAATAAAGCACATGAAATAAATCTATAACATTATATAAAGAATGGAAGCAAACAGCTGCTGTGAATCTAACGCAGCAAATTCTCTAATTTGCCCTGTTTTTTCTATCAGAATTCTTTATATATCTCTATCAGAATTCTATCAGCTGAGGTTGAAGCCTATATCTCTATCCTGCAAAGTGGTGGAGTAACAGAGCTTGCAGCCCATATCTGTATCCTGCAAAGTAGTGGACTCTAGCTTCAACATGTGGCTATTGCCTCTTTATGTATTCCATGTGATTGTAAGAAAAGAGGTAAAATTGATCTCTAAGATGTGACTCTAGTTTTACCCCAAAATCTGCAAATATAATACAGATTTCAGATTGTGGCAATTAGTTGGACCTCCAGATTGGACAAGCGGTGTGTCCATGTGGTTTGTATCAGAAGCTCAGATGTAGAAAATTCTATATATATGATGACTCTTCATTCTACAGTTGGTGTCATCTGCAGCAAACAAAAAATCTGGTATGCTCTTCTTCTCTGCCTGATCCTATCTTCAATGCTGTATTTCAATCTGTTTCCGTCATACATTCTTGCTCTTCTTTTATTAATATTTTGTTCCATTTAAAATTTGCCTACCACATGTTTGGCAATATGTCTAAACCATAAAGAAAATTCACAACGGGGCAGAATGTAATAAATTAGCATTAATCGCAACTGGTAATAGCCATACAAAATTCCACTGGAATGAAATCTAGGTAGCAGCTTTGTTTGTATCAACATCTCTTTGGTTACTCACTTTAAGGCCTGCTTTCAATTTTTTACTTTGTTAATGCATTTGATTTACATTATGGCAAAGGTTGCAAATGGCTCAGGGAAATAAAAAACTGCAAAAAATCTTTAGATTTTGTACAAATTGCTTTTAAGAATAAAAAGCACAGATATCTTCTTTCCAAGAATTAAAAAGGAAAAATAAAAACTTTGAATAACTCTGGTTAGAACAACCAGCTCAATCCATTTTTGCTGACAAAACAAAATTAAAGAAGAAAAATTTTAAACACTTGCAATAAAAAACTGCACCCAATTGATGAGTTCATAAGCTCATGCACTTACAACCCATACACAAAAGGAATCCCAAATGGAAACATTTATTAAGTTATGTACTCTTCATTTAAGGAAGAAACTAAATAAGATGAAATCAGATAATCACCGACGATTTACATACAAATTCTCTCAATTAATTTCTGGTTTATGATGATAATCAAATGTAATCACAAAACGAGAAACAATAAAATGAAAAAATTATAAACTCCAAATTGCCTATTTAAAAACACATTTAAATAAATTTTCAAGATGAAGCAGTTGATCTTTGAAGCCATTAACAGGATACAAATCCTGCATATTGTAATTTGAAGCACAACATCAAAGAGCAGGACATACATGTACACAAAAAAAAACCTGCATGTTAGTTCTGATCTCCATACACTTGACATTATATCATTAAACATTATAAGTTAGACGAATGCACCATTATAACTAGAGAGAAACTTACAACCCATACTCAAAGGAACCCCAAATGGAAACTTTTATTTACTCTTGATTTAAGGAAGAAACTAAATTCCACCGTGAAAAGGTTGTACACTTACACAAATAAATAATATAAAAATAAAGTTATGGCGTATCATAGAATTCATAAAGTCTTCATTAAAAAAAATCAAAATAGTAAATCAATTCAACAATTAATTAGTAGTAGAGATGTGAAGCATTAATAGTCAATGTATCAAGATACAAAGTGATTTGGTATTAGGAGTATCAACTGATACATAGTAATAATGTGAAATCTTTTAAATCATTACCACTCCCTAAAAAGATTAACCCTAACAAAAACAAATCATTCCCAACACAATTTGACTTAAATCAAAGAAAGGCATTTAAATTCAGAAGTCAAAATTCGGAATTTTTCCAAGCTTTGATGATGAATTTACTAATTACAATCACTCCTGCACATTGGCATATGTTATCTATATATAATATGTAATTCTTGTGGTTTGACTTTCATACATATCCTTTGCTTGTGTTCTTGGTTTTTGGTTTTGAATCCCTTTCTGAGCACAATGTTTTTTTCAAGCACACGGTGCGATATATTATTGGAAAGTGCAATGTTTTTCCATCACAGCCTGCTTTTATTGGCACATCCTTTAATAGATTTTAGTTTTTTTGGCTGATGATTTCATTGTCTAGATGATTTAAGATTATACAAAATAACAAATATATACAGTGGTAAATGAATATAGAAAGACTGGCCTCTATTTATTTATATGCCTTTCTTACAATTCTTGTATGCATTACCCTGCTTCTATAAGTATATAACTGATGAAGGCAGAGGTTTTTACTTCTATTATTTTGAAATTTCTTGCCATATTGGTCACAATCAATCTTGTGTATTAATTAAGTGGCCACTTTCTTCTTTGTTTTGTGGTACACCCTTATTCCTTCTTTGAAAAATTTAAACAGTATGGAAAATAGTAAAAGTGAAGTAATTGCACATACATTGGCATATAAACTACAGACAAGTTTCCTAGCAAGGAAATAGCTGAAAATCAGTTTTCCCTGCTCTACTTTATTTTCATTATTGTGTTTTGATTCTGTAATTTTCTTTTTCTTCCTTTTTGTTGATTTTGTTAAGGTTGGCAACCTGAAATCCAAGAAGGGGCGTTGATTGGGATGAAAATTGGACAAGTTTGAAGATGAAGGTATGTCAAACAGTTTTCATATAGGATTAAGTGGACATTTAGCTTGAGTATCTTTTTGGCGGGAAGTGTTTGATGATGGATCTTTGAGTGTCTGCACTACTTGTTAATTTAAAATGCATCTAATGGCTCCCTTTTTTGATTGGCCTAAATGTTTTGTGGATTGAAAATTTTCTGGTATAGGGAACCTGAAGCCAAGATGTGCAAGTTGTAGTTGTATTGTAATTCTGATGAACTCTTGCCACTTCCAAGTTTCACATTTGTCAAAGAGCTCACTCTTGATGTGGAAAATGTTGTAGCCCCTCCCAAGCCAAAATCCTATTCAGTTGTTAGTAAAGCATCTTCCACAAAAGAGGGTGTACATGTTTCATCAACAAATGCTAATCATAACTCAGAAACGCCACCAAGTGGAGGGGAAAGGATTGCCGATGATGCTCACAGTGAAGACAGCATAGCTCAAAGTCCAGCTAATGCTCAAAATTCTCCATCTAGCAAGAACTTCAGAGCAGATGGTTCACCCCATGCTAGAGAGACCCAGAGGTACATGTTTTAATTTGTATCTTTTCTATATTTTCCTTCTGCGTTGGATTAGAAATTTTTTATTGGTGTCCGAACCTTTAAACCATTGCATGGCATCTATCTACACCTACTGTTTTATTCAAAAATCTGAATTTCTATATGATTTTATTCGTGCAGTGAACACGGGGGTGTTGAATCTGTGTTCTCTGGGGACAGAAGTGTTGACGAACGGAACTGGGGTGCATTTGACACTCACTATGATACCGACTCAGGCTGGGACTTCAGTTCTGGTCCTATAAAGGTATATGAATACTTCTGTATTGAGTGGCAATCCAGTTTGCTCTGTGCATTAATTAGAGATGCGGTGCAGCTGCATGATGCATGTGAAGTTTTGATCCATATCCCTTCGATCATTCAGTCTTTCTTTTCTTTGGTGTTGTCCATGAGAATCCCTTTTCCAGAATTTTTGGTTTAATGTTCTTTCGTAGATCATGTTTTTTCCTCTTAAAAAAAAAAATTTAAAAAAAAAAAAAATTCAAATATTTCATGCATGTGAAGTTTTGATCCATATCCTTAAAGTGTATTCTGAAATGTTTTTGACTTGCCATAAAGAAAGGGATGTTTTTGTGTATATGGTTTCTGTCTACAACAGGGAATTACAACATTACCAAGGCAATTAGAAAGTAAAACTAATGGATTCAAATAAATCAATAGTTGCTTGGATATTCAAAGCGACGGACAAGGATACACATACGTATATAATTACTGTCATTTATTTCATTTCTCTTAATAAAAATGTACTATGTATATCTTTTTCTCTATACATAATCTTACATATATATTTCAATTATCTACGCTAACAATGTAGCGATAGAAAAAGTTTAGGGACTGATTTATAGATTAAACATTGGCTGCGCAGTCCATGGTGGATATTATGACAAAAATAGACCAAAGTTATCACACCCGCCAATTTGAGTTAGCAAAACAACATCTGATGGCATAATACATATTCCAGATATTCATGATCTAGATGTGAATGACTCAAAATTACTTATCCGTCTCCAAGGATTATGAAAGATGCTTCACTAGAAATGTTGTTGGTATTGCTTAGACTTACATTCAAAAAGTGGATCCCAGCAAAGAGAGATAACTTTGCACTATAGTTAGCTCAGCACCAATCAAGAATCCCCAAGGACTTCCAAGAATTTTTGCTATCCATTCATTCCAACCCTCAACCCTCTTTCCTAGATTCATTGATATTGAATCAATCAAATCGCACTTCTAACACTTGTTCCACTTTTAGACGGCCCTATGTTGATCTCAATTTTTCACATATTAATGTAACTAATGTATCTCCATCATTAAGGATTCCCTATAATGGGCATGAACTGCTGCTTCTGGAGTGGCCAAATAGGGTTTAGCAGATTATATTAATACTACAAAGTCAACTTGAACAATTAGAACTTGACACAATTTTAGGTGTGGCCGGTTTTTGACTAAAAACTCACAACAAATGCATAATTGGAAAAAAGTGAGTAGTTAAGCAATAAGAACAAGATTACTAGAGTAACTACCAATATGTGGCCTTCTTCAAATGCTTGAAATGTAACTCCTATTAAATTCATTAAAAAAACTGTAAAAACATGCTTTAAAATGGTATTTAGGAGAGAAGATCAGCCAGCAATTTGAAGTCAAAAGAAGTAAGGTAAGGTGATGTGAACCTCTCCAGCATGCACTACAAAAAGGATGTCCACAAGCAGCAGTGCTTATCCTATCAAGAGGATGGTTTTCAAAACAAATCCCGCAAGTCAGCTGCCCAAAGAAAATTTAAAAGCAAAAAAGTAGTACATCAGAACAAGGGAGAAGAAAAACACTGTACCCATGTGGTCTGCAGCTGCAAATACTATGCACACAAAATCAAAATGTACAAAGATATCTTGAGCTTTCAATAACTTACTTCTTTAGAATTTGGATATTGAACAACTGGCCATTCCACCAAGCCCACAGTTTTGCGGACTCTAACTTCATCAGCAAACCATGCCTCGTGCACATTACTCACACTCCTGTTCATTTGAATTTTTTTAGCACACCAAGCAAACAAACAAACATACATACATACAAGATGCAGCTTGCTGAGTCGCTGACATAAGCTTCTAAAATTTCAATTATGCTTCACATTCAATAAACACATGCCTCCACTCTAAAAGATCATAGTAATACCACCAACAGATTATATATTAAAAAGAAATAAATTAATAAAATAAAAACAAAAAACTCATGTCAACCATAGGTGGCAGGATAAAAATGATCAATTTACCAATGATAGTGACGGAGTAGAATGCTCGCAGCCACTTCTGATATTGAGAGGACCGTGGAAACTGTTACGATATCATCCCCTTGACGCCGGTCTATATCTGCTTCCTTCAAGACAATATAATTTTTCTGAAACATAAAACAAGACATGTGAAATCCAGAAGAAACTAAATAAGGAATGGAAGAAACCGATCAACTTGTAACTGCAAACTCAAATTGAAAAGGTGCACCAATAGAGCATCATGGCAATGTTGATGTTAGCAAAAAGACCTTACACAAAATCACAATTCCTTCATCACATAAAGCCAATTCAAGTTTTTATTCAATGTTTTATACTCAAATTATGAAGATTGCACTTGATAAGATGAAATCAAATAAGGCTTTGGGACCCGATGACATCCCTATTGAAGCTTGGAAATGCTTGGGTAAGAAGGGGGTTGCTTCGTTGACTAGGCTATTTAGCAAGATTTTGTTTTATGAATTGTGTAGGTTCATTCGCGAGGGCGTGTCCGCAACCAAACTACTGTGAGTAATATCTTAGTAAAGATATTTTCTTATTTACTCTATTTTCTGAATATCCTAATGTGGTAAGTCTTCTGAACTTATGATTTTGCAAGTGTAAATGAGTTTGTATCTATCCAATCAACATGATATCTACAAATGTGATTAATGTGACACGAATGTGTATAATGGACCTAAGGTCGTTCTGTATATCTGAATTGGACCCAAGGTCATTTCGTATATTTGATATGATAGACCCATGGTCGTTCTGAATATCTGATAAGTCTGATCTGTTATGAGTTGACCGAATGGTCATTATACAGCTGTAAATGATTGGACCTAAGGTCGTTCCGTTAAGATATTATCAATTATGTTCTGTACATCAATTATATGTTGGACCTGAAGTCGTTCCATTATGATACGAAATTATTACAAAAATGATCTTGTTTAATATTAGAACTCATTAATATAACCTTTTTACTTTGATGTTATTCACTGGGCTTTCACTCACTCCGTTATATATATGTATGTGGGTGAGCAATGGGATGTCCAGCCCTAGTGAACCTATGAAGGAATACCGAGTTTTTTTGAAATCAACCAAGGATGCCTCACACACGAGGCTTTTGTCTTTTGATTTTCTTTTGCTTCATTTTGGTTGGTTATGTTTGACCATGTCTATACATAAGTTTTGGTTTTTGTATGGTTAAGATATTTAAATGGTCTTGGGCATATGATATCTTTTCATGTATATATGGGTGTGAGTTATTAATATATAAGAAATTTTTGTTCATGCCATTTATACACAAGCTCATTGGACAAATTTTATGGGTATGTTTGGTTTGAGTTTGGGAGATGAGTTTTAGAGATAAAAAGTACGAAAATTTGTTTGGTTTGATTTTTTTCAAAAGATGTTTTGGAAAATTATTTTGAAAGAGAGTTTTGAAAAAAGTGATTGATTTGATGTGTATGAGAGAGAGATTTGTTTAGAAAACTTGTGAACCAAACAAGTTTTGGGAAATTTTTTTGGAAAAATTTGTTTGGTTTGATTACTTTTGAAAACTTATTTGTAGAGAATTTTTCTCAAAAATTTTTGGGAAACACAAACCAAACAAGGCCTATATTTCTGCTTCCGCTTCTGGCCCCATATGATTAAAATTGGTTTGATTTCTGTCTAAGGCGTAGGTAATCTCATGATTACTGGCCAGTTATGATCCAAACCTCTAGGGGCGGGTTCGGGTCATGACAAAATGAGTGGACAGGAATGATAATTTATTTGAGGGAAAACAACAACAGAGGAAGAAACAGTACAGAGAAGGAATCACTTAGAAGAGAAAGGGAGAAAGAAGCAACAATAGAGGATAAAAGGGAGAAAGAAGCAACAATAGAGGATAAAAGTGAGATGAGGAACACCAGCAACAGAGGAGAAAGAGAGAATAGAAGGGAAATCAAAAGAAAATTCAAAAACACTAACAAATGAAATGAAGGAAGGAGCAAATCATCAGCAGTAGCAAATGCAGGGGAAGCAAGTAAATCCAAAAGTAAAGAAGTTGCAAGGAAGAAGAATAATACGAACCCCTAGGTAGAACTCACCCTTAAAAATTAGCTTGCAAGGGGAGGGTGCCCAAGAGGCTTATATGCACATGGCCAAGTCCTCTATTGACCAATGTAGGAGTGTAACATACCACCACGCTCCGCAGTCAACGTCCACAGCAGCCCATTCTATCTACACTAACCCGATGGTAACCCTTTCCCTTCTAGCGGCTTCACTCAACTATCAATATTCAACACCATTTTTTAGATGTCTTAATCCGGTTCCTCCACGGCTCGAACTGCAAAGCCGCACCCATTCAATCCCAAACTCACATAGGTGCATCCCATTTCATCCTCAACATGGTGGCTGGCTCTGATACCAAATAATACGAACCCCTGGGTGGAACTCATCCTTGAAAAATGGCTTGCAAGGGAAAGGTGCCCAAAGAGACTTATATGCACATGGTCAAGGCCTATATTAACCGATGTGGGATCGTAACATAGAACATAAGTGAAATAAAGAAGAAAAAAGAATAAGAAAACAACAGAGAAGAATAGCAAATGAGATGCAAAGAGTCATATATGTAGAAGAAATAAGAGGGGAGAAGGAGACAAATAGTCGTCAGCGTTTTTCTCTTCAATCAGCCATCTTTCAAATTAGAGAAAAGTTATAAGAATATTTGAAGCCAACCCTAATGTTGAATGTGACTATTCACTTAAGTAGTCATGTGATAAAAATATATGTGGACACTAGTTTTCTCATGTCAATTTGGTCCTTGGAGTTCTAATCACATCATTTTTATCTAAAAATTGTACTAATATTTTAGACTTCAAATAAATAAATAAATATTATATATCATTTTCCTTAACAAATTACTCAATTATTGATAATGCCCTATAAAAATTGGACTGAAATCAATAGGCAAAATAGTTCATTCACTCTCCTCAAAGTAACTGAGGGTTGGCTTCCAATTTGAAATTGTCCATTCCATTTTGAATGGATCATTTTGCCCTTGATTTCTATCCAATTTCTTAATAAATGTTACATATTTAACTACGATGACACATTGTTTGCAGCACATGAGAGTACTAAACTTAAACTGCATCACAGCTTTTCGGTTTAGAAGGGAGTCCGGTTCTGGTATGGGTTGTTTCCTTCGTACCGTACCCCAAACCGACACAGGTGAACGAGTATACTAGGGCACTTGAGAGAACCATGTCAAAGGAACTCGGCAAAATGACCCCATAACTTCGGGAGAAGGGGTGCTCTCCTATCTTTTGATTAGGAAAGCGGCAAATACCAGGGGGTAGCGACTGTTTATTAAAAACACTGTGTGAAACATTGAAGGTCAAAATGGATACAAATGAAACTATAGGGACCAAATTGCCACAAGGACTATGGACATAAGCCGCCTCTTCTTTATTATATAATTACTTATGCAAGCAAGATGTGCCCAATGGCTTTTGTATCACAACACACTGTTTGTGGCAGGAACTCTCTCTTATCTCAATACTCTCTTTGGCTAGAGCTTTTTCGCATTATCCACAACAGAATCTTTACAAGCAACGCCTTCTCCTTGATCTTTTTTCTGTCAAAATAAAAATTTGGGATATTGATTTATGGTAATTTTTTGCTATAAAGGATGTACTTTTATTGCTACAAATAGGAATTTTAATTTTTGGCTATTTGTGCTAAAACTACAAACTTAAGAAAAATTATATTATCTTATTGTAGTTAATTAAAGGAGAACTTTTTCAAGATTTTAATTAATAATAGGTGCCTTTTCTGAACTAATTTCATGCTCCGTCACTGGTGGACATCCCCACATCATACTTTAAAATATAAAACCAACAAAATTAACTCCATATTAAATGAAATAAATAACTAAATAAAAGAAATTAAATCCTAAACTACATTAGCTCCCAATGAGTGGAAAAACATGAGTCGAAAAAAGTCTCGGATAATCGCTGGAACAAATCCGCCAAACACAGTCTCAACTTAGCCTCATCAATCTAAGAACAATTCGTCAATGGCCAACTTCGCCAATAAACCAAGTACCCTCAGTGCCCCCTATTACGTGTCATAACAATCCTGATATCAACAACATCCACAGCATTGTCAGCAAGTGTAGACACCTTCATAGGATTCAATGACTCTCCATGAAAGAAGAATAGGGAAGTAGGGATCATCAAAAAGATCGAAAAGATATGCATTAGTACGTGCTTAGAATATGAATCAGTTCCAAACTTCCTCCGACTCAACTTCCTATATGGTCCAATTGAAAATCTGACCCTATTAAAATGCAATATAACCAAATCTCCCATTGAAAAAGATTGTTCTATCCTCGAGTACATCTTATAGCACCTCTTTTATATGCTCATTAATTTCATTAGCCTCAGCAGTCAGCACTACTTTGACCACGGTAAGAAATAGAGGAACAATGAAGAATGTGAGGAATGAAATGACCACAAATGATTTCAAAAGGACATTTTATAGTCAATGTATCAAATAATGGTCGTGGTTGTTGTAACGGTAACGATGGCACTAATGAGGTTGCAATGTAACGGGTGTAGCGTAATAGTCACAGCAATTGGAGCAGTGAAATTTTTCATTTTTCGCAAAAAAAACTTATGAATATGCATGTTTTTATTTCAAAATTACATTTATTAGGGAACAAATGGTTTTTGGAGGATTTTGTATAATTTTTTTAGACATGATCCAGTATATGTGCTAAATTTTATATTATTCTTAAATCGCTATGAAAAGGATTTGACATATTTTTCTTTCGACATTTAATGATTTCATGCGTCATAAATTCATAATACACTACTTTATTGTTGTTTATTTTGTTATTACTAGTTATAGACTTATAATGTTATGTGTTTCAAATTTGCAAGTTAGATATGTTTAATAAATAAATTTGAATCATTGTCGTTTATTTTATTAAACAAATTAACATCATATGATTTATGATAGGTTAGGCCTATCACACCGCGAACTTGTTCGAGAGATTCACCACCTCCCAAATTATTATAGTGGCAGAGTCAGAAAATTAAGTTAGAGGGGACACTTATTAATTATAATTTTTTCTTTTAAAAAAAAAAAAAAAATCATGATCAACATTAAGATAATAATAATTTTATGAGCTGAATTTAAGCATAAGAAATTAAAAATCATTATTAATAGGAACAAATCAAAATTCTATAATAGTGTGTAATAGCTCGGTGCAGGATGGTGACGTAAGTTTGTAATTTTAGCACAAAAAAATTATGGATCGAAATTCCTAATTTTAGAAAATAAAAATACATCATTTATAGAACAAATTATTATAAAATCTATTTAATTTTTAATTGACAGAAAATATTAAAAAGATGATATTGCTTATAAATGATGTGCTTTGAATGGAAATTATTACATAGTCTTAGAGTACCATATGGTGTTCCCTATATGATGCTTAAAGCATGAGAAATCACAAATCACAAATCGCACTAACTAGTTTGTCAACTACTTGAAAATAATGAGTTAATTATATTCAATCCATAAGATTTCCCACTACACTATTGGTTTAGACTACTACATAAATAATACCACATAGTGCTCTCAAAATATCAAATAATTACTTATTGTGAACAATACAATAAATCTTTAGCCAAAGAAAATGTTAACAAAAAAATGAATACATTTTGTATATGACCACAAAACAAAAACAAAAACAAAAAAGATTCAAAATTGAGGGGGGGCGCGTGACCCCCCTCAACCTTCTTTGGCTCCGCCCCTGCTTGTAGGATAACTCTGATTGTTTATTTCATGGATCTCAATCAAATATATAAGATTAAAAGCATCTCCATTCCTTATCCTAATAACAGTTTGACTCAACTAGAACTCTTGCATAACAAATAAATAGATAACAACCAAACTAACTCTAGCATAACAAATAAATAGATAACCACCAAATCTGAAATAGTAGGATGAAACAAGGATAACTATCTAATCCAAATCTAAACAACTCCTAACAACATGTGCTGCTATGCAATTTGCTAGGCCTAAGTTGTTGTGCGTTTTGTTGGGCTAGACTTAGGCCTCCTTTGATAGCATTGAAATATGGGTGGCAAATCCTGAGGCCTATTTTATTTTTTATTTTTTTTTTGGTTTTTGACTGGCACTGGGGTGTTCGGATCAAAACCCGACTAATCCCCAGGGACACATAGGCCGTCGGTAAGGAGTTTTCCGCAAGTGCACTACTGTTAATTCAAAGGTTTTCCTCCAGTTCGATGGCCCCAAGAAATTGTTAGCACCTAAGAGCTTTCGATCCCTGAACCTAGAGGGAGTACACCCCAAGACCCAAGGCCCAGCAAATCCTGAGGCATATCATTCCCTCCCTCATGAAAAACAACCTTGTCCTCAAGGTTGAGATGTGGGAACCTGTGCTGCAACTTGTCATACGGTTCCCCAGTGGCATCAGAAGCTAGTAAGCCTTCCTAATGGACCAACATTTCTTTGATGAATTGTCGGCCTTTTCTGACCCATCGATAATCAATCAACCACTAAGGAACAATATGCAAGTCACCCGTAGCTGAAAAAGAGGGTAAGTAAGGAATCACAATAGAATGGTTGCTAGTGTGCTGCTTCAATTGGGAAACATGAAAAACCGGATGCACCCGAGTTCCTTCCGACAAATCTAAATCATAGCCACCTTGCCAACTCTTTTCTTAATCTGACAAGGCCTAAAATAGCGATACGACAACTTTTGGTTTGCTCGCTAGAACAAGCTAGACTGTTGATAAGGCTTGAGTCAGAGAAATACTCAATCGCCCACCTTATATCCCTTCTCTCAACGACGTTGATCGTGCTGGACTTTCATGCGATTTTGAGCTTGAGCCATATTGAGCTTTAGTTCCCTAATAATGTCATTTAGGTCCCGGAGTTGTTGTCCAACAGCATCCACTTGTGATGAACCTGGTGTATAGTCAACCAACGTAGGAGGCGGCCATCCATAAACAGCGTCATATGGCATCATACCTGCAGCAGAATGGTAATTGGAGTTATACCAATATTCTACCCATGGTATCCACTTGGCCCAATGTCTTGGTCTGTCCCCAACAAAAAATTGAAGATATGTCTCTAAGCACCTATTCAATACCTTAGTCTGGCCATCCATTTGAGGGTGATATGCAGTACTCATTTAAAGCACTGCTCCTTGGAGCTGTGTTACATGGACTCTTCTATATCCCCCATAATACCCGTGTCCATCGGATATGACATGGATAAGGTTGTGGGATATGTGTCTGATGCTCGTACCCAATTTACACACTCAGATACTTTAATTTGTGACAATACATGAAGAAAAAGAAACTCACATTTGTTAGTAAAGCAATATTTTTAGGCTCTCACATGAATTAGATATAGAAATTTCATATTTTTTTCTAAATCATATTTAATTTCTAATATATTTCTACATAATTTAAATCATCTCATTCTTATATAATATACAATATATATGTGCATATGACGGGTCCCCGTACCCATATCCAATTTTGGATACGTACCCCAAGATCCTAAGATTTAAATTTATGAATGTCTGACGCTTGGATACACACCCGCACCCGACACTCGTACCCGAGTCCATGCAACATAGCCTTGGAGTCTAAAGTATGCAAGCCAGAAATTGCTTATGAAGATGGGGTCTCCTCCAAAGGAACTATGGTGATGGAAATATTTATGACTCTAGGCTTCAAGCCTGAGACAGAGTGGAGAAGATTATTAGGGGTAATAGTTGGTGTTGGCCTCCTTCACTGTCTTGGGAGCTAATGGAGGCCCAAGATAGTATCCCTGATGATATGCAGCCCACAAATAGGGAGGATAAAGTCTGTTGGTTGCCTTATAGGGATGGGAAGTTCTCTATTCACTCAGCTTGGGATAATTGGAGGTCTCACAGACCTAAAGTTCCTTGGTGTCAATCTATTTGGTTCAAATTTCATATTCCCAGAGTTAGAACTATTGTTTGGATGGCTATCCAAGAGAGGCTTAGTACTCTCAATAGATTAGTAATGTTTGGCATCAAGGATTCTTCTCTTTGTGTTCTGTGTTCTGCTCAAGTAGAGGACCATAACCATTTGTTCTTTGCATGCCCTTTCTCTTGTCAAATTTGGAATGCCTTGCAGAGTAAACTTAATGTTAGTTGGCCATCTATGGATTGGATGGAATTGGTGGAGAGGATGAACGTTAATATTTCTGGTAATTCTTCGGCTACTACTATTATGAAACTTGTTTTCACATGTGCTATTTATAATGTTTGGCAGGAGAGAAACTTGAGAATTTTTCAATCTACTAAGTCTCCTGAAACAGTTATAATCAAGAAGGTTGAGAGTATGGTGAGATGTAGGATCCTCTCAGTGAATAATTTCAAGGAAGACAATACTAATGGTTGGTTCATAAGGGTGTGGAAACTTCCTCCCTCAGTGCCTAAGAAGGCCCCCATTAACAATTGATTCCTTGTGGTTCCTGTCCTAACACCTTTTTGGACAGTTTAATCGTTTCCTTTGCAGGCTCTTTGCTGGTACTCTTTTAGGGAATATAAGGGTTGAGTTTTGTGAGCCATGTATGCTAGGTTGCTGATATTTTGCTTCTCCAGATTAGTTCCAGAGTGTCGAGTGATGTGAGCCCTTATATGGTTTTCTAATTGTTTGTTGTGCAGGTTGTCTTGCTGGTCCTATAGGTGAGGGAATTCCTTGTTGAGGGTTGAGAGAAGTAAGCCTTATATTTTTAGTTGTTTATATCTGAGGTATCTTTGAGGGTTGAGTGTAGTGAGCCCTTATATGATTTCTAATTGTTTATTTTGCAGGTTGTCAGGCTTGTCCTTTATGTGAGGGAGTTCCTTGTTGAGGGTTGAAACAAGTGAGCTATAAATTTTAGCTGAGTGTAGCTTTGAGGAAGCTCTTCTCTTCTCTCCTTGCTTGTTGTGTGCTTTTCTGGGTTTCATAGAAGGTTGGAGTGGCTGCTGTGTCTTGGATGGGTGTGAGGCTGGATCATTTCTTGATGGAAGGTTGCGGCTTCCTCCTGTCTGTTGTTGCTGACATAGTGCTGCATCCTTTGTTTTTATTTTATTTTGGTCATGGATGGATGTAATAGATCCCTCTTGTTTCCTTTTAGCTTTTGCCTTCCCTTACAGGTTGTGTAACGGTGTGGAATTTGGTTTCTGTTGTTCTCTCTAAGCTGCTGGCTGCTGTTAGTGCCGCCTTAGTTTTGTGCTTGTTGTCCTGGCTTTCAATTGTTTGGTGGTGGTAGTTTCATCTAGTTTTCCCATATCCTTGAGGTTGTGCAAGGTTTAGCTAGTTTTATTTTGTTTTGGGATCAGACCTCTATTTGTTTTTATCCTTTTCTTTCCTTGTTGTTTGCCTTTTGTGGGCTGTGTTTGTTCTTTTAATTTGGTCCAGGTTTTGTGGTTGTTCATGACCCCCATGTGCTTTTCATGTGGCCTATGAACATTGCTTTCTCTCCTAGTTCTTTAGGAGTGGTTTGGGATGATCTAAATAAGTGCATTTTTTAACTTTTTACGAAATATGGGTTGGGTATGGGCTGGATTTGAAGTGATGTGTTAGAGAGGTGATGTGACTTAAATAAGATGATGTGACTTAAATAGAATAGTGACTTTTTGATTTTTTTAGGTTATAACAAACAAGGCCTCAGTCTTTTTGTCTTGTATTTTAGATTAGGCTTATTTTCTGTGTTTCTTGTAGGGTCTAGGGTATTCCCCTTGTCAATCTGTATATTTCCTTGTTTTATATTATGACTTAATTCTTCCCAAGAAAAAAATGAACATTCTATCCATTTCCTAGTCTTGCATATTTGTTCTCAGCCCAACCTCTCAAAAAACATCATTAACCACAGGTATAATCAACCAGTGGAGCTTCTTTATTTGAAGAGCAAGGGAAAGCTTTTTTATTAAATTATATGGACTCTTCTAAGTACTCATGTCGGACCCTCAACATTTAGGTAAGGATATGTGTGGAGAAGTGGTTTGAAAATACTCTTCAAATCCTGGGGGACGCTCATGATCCTCAGCTAGCCACCTGAAAAAGAATTAGCACTCCGGTCGAGGGTGCCGGAATTAGCACTCCGACGGACAAGTTAGTCTCTACTCTCTCTGAATTATTTGTATTTTATGTTAAGCATACTAGTTCTCACATACCTCTTTCTGTCTGACGTTCCTCTATTTATATCTTTTCTTTCTTTGGCCTCGGGGCTGGGCCCACTATCGATCCGCCGTATAACTATTTATTCGGCTTCTTTAACTACAAACCGTTTGCCGCTCGGCCCCTTATTCAACCGGCTACTTAGCCGAATAGAGCCGAATTCGATGCGCAATTCGACTCTCCTGGTCTATCTATTCGGCTTATTTACGTCTCCTAATATTCGGCCCTCACAATTGCCCCCCAAGCACTTCACTAACAACAGTTAGCTGGAGTGTTTGGTTTCGAACTCGAAAAGTCAGAGCCGAAATTCGGCGGCTAACCTCATTTCAACGCACATGTCTGAGCATACGCCTCTCAGTTATCATTTCAACTTCCCGCCTCTTCGTATACTTCCATTTATTGTGATTTAAAATTTTGTCGTCTTTTCGAACACGCATTTTCGGACGCTTTAGAGTTTTTCGACCGTCTTCCGACTCTCCTCTGCAACTTCCATCCTCCATTATTTTCTCCGTCTTGTAAGTTTTTCTTCGTCTCTGCTTCCTCTTTGCTTTGAGTCCTTTTTCCTGATTTGCCTTTAGTTTAGTACACTCCTATAGGTTGACCGAAATGGCAAAGCATCTGAAAGACCTTCTTTCCGCGGATCGAATCTCTGGCTTTCGATGCCATTTTTCTATCCCTGAAGATGTCCATCTGTCGCTTGTGACAGACGGCACTCTCGATATGGAGAGGGATGATGAAAGCACAATCGTCTTTCCTCTCTTATCGATTGCAGAGGGCGGAATCCGTTCCCCGCTTCATCCATTCCTTAGGGCTGTCCGTCGCCATTGGGGCCTAATCCCATCCCAACCCAATGTCAACTTTTTTAGAATCGTAATGGGGATAGTAGAGCTGAACCGTCGCCTTAAGATCAATCTCAGCATACCTACTATTCGACACTGTTACGCCTTGGCCAAGTCTTCTGGTCGGCATGGACGCTACTTCCTTAGGGCCAAGGACACCGACCATCAACTAGTGACTATGCTTTCCAGCTCTAGGAAGCGAGTCGATGATGTTATGGTCGTTGTCCAAGATAACTGGGAATTCGGCGAAGACGAAGATCGCCTTGATCCTATTCCTAGACGGAGGAGGGAACTAGGTTGCCATATAGTTTTTTGCGTCTATTTTTCTTATATTTGTGAAGCTTTATTGTTGAGATCTTATGGTTCCGTTTGTGCAGGGAACGATTTGAAGAAGGTCTTGACCTCGACCGACGACGCCGTTCTTTCAGAGATCAAAGTCGCATTAAAATACTTCGGCCGTCCAAGCCTTCAGAAACAAGGGAGAGCGGCCCATATTCTTCTTCGATACGAGCCGACGTACACGACTTTCTCGGCAGCAGAAAACATCCCAATCCCGAGAGGTGAAAAGTCTCTCACGGCTCTTATTTTAACCAACTTCAGAAACTTGCGCCAAATTGGTTTCGAAGGATCCAACTCGGAGCGTGTGGAAGTCGTTGAGGTCGTTGAAGAATCAGGCCAGTCTAAGGCCGAAGTGGGCGAGGCTTTACGGGTAGCCTTTGAGGAAACCGACCTCAGTTCAGCCAACCCTCCGTCCACCTCGGGTCGCGGGGAAGTTTGCGACGTCTTTTTTGGACTAGAAGACCTTCCCGGCCCATACCCGGAAGATATGGCCGGGTTGTCACTCACACAACTTGCCAAAAAGGCAAACGCCGAACGAATGGCTACGTGACGGAGGGCAGAGGCCATTCGATCATAGGCCATTCGATCCGAAAGTCCACCTGTCGCCGACGTCGAGCCCCTCCTACCTCTTACTGAGACGGTTCAAACACAAGATGTCGAGTCGGAGCCGATCGTGCCGGAAAATCAAGGGGCTGAACGAAGGGCAAAGAAACGTCCTGCCGAGGTTGAGGCCGACTTTGGAGAAGTCCCTGTCGACAAACGGCCGCGTTTGGAGGAATCGGATACGGTTACGCCTTTTGTGGTTCAACCAAAGGTAAAAAATATGCCGATCTCCTCTGACACATCGGCTATCAAAGATCCAGTTGTGGCGCTGAGCATGGCTTCATCGGTTTCATTGTCGTCTGACAAGGCAACTTTCCGCTTAGAGCCAGATCTTTTGGCAATAGCATTAGCCGCTCAATCGGCTCTTCTGGTGAATACCTTGATCTTGCCTTTCCCCTTTTATGCATATATTTTGGTTTTAATCTCCTATTTTGCAGACAGTCGGAAGGATAGCCGAGATAGGCCGCCGCCAGCACGATGCCATCGAACAAATTGGCTGTTTACAATCCGAAGTTGAGGGCCAAAGAAGCAGGGCTGAGTTTGAAGCGGCGAGGGCGAAAATGGAAGCTGCAAGGGCCGAGGCCGAGATGGAGAGGGCCCGAAACGCAGACCAGCTCAGATTGGGTGCCGATCAGAGGGCGACTGTGAGCGAAGTTGCACTGAAATTAGCCCAAGAGGCGATCGCCAGACTTGAGGCGGACTTAGCAGAATCAAAGGCGGCGAAAGAAGTAGCCGACTCTGAGGCTAAGAAGGTGTATGAGGCTGGGCAAAGCGCTGCCCTTGCCAATTACGTGGAAAGAAGTCCCCAAATTCGAGAATCGGGAATTCAAACACGGCTGGCTCAAAGCCCTTGCTGCTGTTAATGTGACATTGGCTATGCCGATTCCATATGAGCAAGTGGATGTTAAGCCGCTAGAGTCTGACCCCGAGGATGATGAGGGCGACAATAATTTTTGTTTTAGGATTTTGAATGTAATGTTACAGCTTTTAATGTTAGAGCTTTTTGTCTATTAGTTTTCACATGTAAAATGGCTACAATCTGTACCTAATTTTACTAATGAAAATTTCCCTTGTACTTCGTTGTTACTTGTGCTTAATGTTTCTATTGATGCATGATATTGCTTTTTGCTTCTTTGGATGAAACATTCGTGTATACGTGACGATTAGATAATTAGGCAACTTAATAATTTACCATCGTAGAGTAGCCGATCAGATCAGTAGATCTGCCCTTGCCCCAGCCAATTTATGAACTCCAAAAAGCCGAATATAATTACTTCATGGAGTGGCTGCGGCACAAATTGATCGGCACAATGCCCAGGCGACTAATTGACCATCGTAGAGTAACCGATTAGATCAATGAATCTGCCCTTGCCCCAGCCAATTTATAACTTCAAAAAGCAGAATATAATTAGTTCATGGAGTGGCTGCGGCACAAATTGATCGGCATAACGCCCAGGCAACTAATTGACCATCGTAGAGTAGCCGATTAGATCAGTGAATCTGCCCTTGCCCCAGCCAATTTATGAACTCCAAAAAGCCGAATATAATTAGTTCATGGAGTGGCTGCGGCACAAATTGATCTGCACAACGCCCAAGCGACTAATTGACCATTGTAGAGTAGCCGATTAGATCGGTGAATCTGCCTTTGCCCCAACCAATTTATGAACTCCAAGAGCCGAATAATCCAATTGGCATCTGGCTTTTGGAGTTTAGCATTAAAGAAGTCGCCTCGGGGGCGTTGCATATATTAGAAATAAATGGGGTCAGTTCGTGCCAGTGATTCCACTTATTCTTGTTCAGACTCGATTTAAACTAGCTTTAGATAAGTGCGAATGTCACATAGACTGTTCTTCAACAGCAGAGGAGAGGGATGAACATTGGCTGAGCTAGACACTACAATGAATCGCAACAACGAGCCTACACGCATGGGAGGAAGGACGTCCAGGGAACGGGAAAAACGCCAACCCCCAAGTTGTCAAAGTAGATCTCCCCGAAAAGAAAAACAGCAAAGCGGGAGCTCCCCGCAATTGCGACCAAGAAACGAGCCCGACGCGACGCCACGACCGTTGAGTTTTATGATTTTCGTGGGAAATAAACCGATGACGGAGGCAGACTCCATAATTAACGACCCAAGTGTAGCAGTCGAGTTCGCTCGACAAATCTTTCCACCGGAAGTCCAGCAGTCGATGGTTGGTCAACAAGATTTCGAAGTTTTTCGAGAAGGCATCCATGGGGCGGTGAAAGGGCTGTATACTGCTTATGAAGTCGGCATATGCCTGCGCGCCGCGCGACGAGAAATAGAGAAGAAGGACGAACGAATTCGCAGTTTGAAGGCTCGCGCGGAGAAAGTCGAGCACGAGCTTTGGGAGCTTAGGAAGGCTCAAACCCCCGAGCCGCGTGCAGCGAGTCAATCTAATCCGATCGTAGAGGTGAGGGTGACCCAACGGCTATTAAGTCACGCGATCGCCGACCGAGATACGGCAAGTATGTTTGCTGTAGAAAATGCGAGGACCATGGGTTATAAAAAAGGCTTCCACGATGGCCGGAAGGTTGGGGTCGACAAAACCAAGGAGAAACTTGCAGAGGAGGTCTGCCGATGCAAGAACCAGGGCTTTAGGCACAGGTGGATTAAGGCTCTCCAAGCCTCAGAGGCACTTCAAGGGGCAGGAGTTGAATCGGCGCCGCCATTATATCATCGTCACTACTTTTCTTTTAACGCTTTTGAAATTGAGAAGAGCGATAATGAGGGCGATGCTGAGTAGAACTAAACATATATTGTAAACATTCCAACTGAACGAATTTCCTTGTAGACATTCCAACATATATTGTATCTATTGGATAGTTCAATAAAATGTTTTATTTTAAACGTTTGTGTTTGATTTTCAATGTTTACATGCCTAATTAGGCATCTCGTTTCGAATGTTTGCATATTTTAATTCGTCATGCGGTTTGCGAATCTTAAACTTAATCAAGCATTTCATTTTGAATGTTCGTATGTTTTAACATGTATACGGTTTTCACCGGATCAACTTAACGAAGCATTTCAACTGAACTTAATCAGGCATTTCGCCGGCTCAACTTTCGTGTACAGCTTAATTTGTTTTCTGCACGGCTTTGGCTCCTAATTCGGCCAATAATTGCCCGCAAATGAGTTTTCGAAACTAGAGTCTTATTCGGCCAAAGGCGTCATGCGCCGATGGGGCTCCGAATCCGGAGACTTTATTTAGCCAATCGTGATATCCACAAAGGGCGCTCTGAATCCAGAGGCTTTATCAGCCCAAAGGCGTCATGCGCCGATTCAACTCTCCTGTGCCAATTCAACTCTCCTGGTCCATCTATTCGGCTTATTTACGTCTCCTAATATTCGGCCCCCACAATATGGAATGTGTTCGAGCGTCCGACATGAGTAGATCCAACATCAATAAGAAAACTAAAAGCGCCGCAAACCAATCAACATGAGCAGATCTGACATGTGTTCTAGTGTCCGACAATAAGAAGCTCCTCAAACCACCCAACTACAATTTGGAATACATAAGTAGATCCATTGCCTCCATCTATCACAAAATTCCATATCCAAACAAATATAATCAGAAATTCTAATTCGCATAATCATATGCCTTCTCAATAGCCACAGATATACAATGTACAATTCACCCCAGGCCCTATAACCCCTTTCCCATGACCCAAAAAAAAAATATGGAGTGAACAAACACATTAGCCATATGCACCTAAATTTGCTTGCCTTCCACAAACCCGTTTTGTGATTCTGACACCACCACTATTAGCACCTCTTTCAATCGAGTAGTCAACACTTTAACCAACAACTTATACGCACCACCAAGCAAACTGATTGATCTAAAGTCTTTACTATCCTCCACACCCCTTCTTACAATCAAAGCTATAAACAAAATAGTGTTGCACCATTTAGACACGCCCCTCAAAGTTAGATACAAACCAGTTCCGCACTGCTGCTAAAATTTGATATATCACAATATAGTGTTACATGTTACAGTAAAACACAAGACGGCCAACTACCTAAGGCACATGCAGAAAACCTCAAACCATGCCAATAAAGTTTTCAGAGAACCATCCCACTACATAGGTCAATAGAACTTACAAATAACAGAGAAGACACTTCACTGATTACATTACTAGAAACATAATTCTAGAACCAAGGAACAAACCCCTCAAATAGAACAACTAAACTTTAAAAGTGACATCACAGTAAACAGTCTCATCGAGCAAAATTGTAGTTTACTTCAATACATATGGGAATCTGCAATGTCATGAAACTCACACAGCAATCTCATATTGTCCACACGCAATTCTTTTTCTACAATTCGTTTCTGCACAGAAATTGAACAACTAGCAACCATATTCTCTATAAATTCAATGGGTGCATTAGTCCAAGATTTCGATCAAAAAACCCATCAGTCAAACTAAACAAAAACTAATTTACAGAACAGAATAGCACAATTACACATCAAAGAAACCTACAACAACAATCCACCATTTCCAATTCAAAACCAAAAACTCGACGCTATCGCACTTTTTTCTTCATTTTCCAGAAATTCACCTGTAGTCGGCTAGCGACAATGTCATTGGAGTCATCGGAGTCGTTGTCCATGAACTCGTAGTCACCGCCTTCGTCATCGCTGTAACCCAGAGCCGTATCGCCACTGTAGTAGTCGTCAAGGGACTCGGCGTCGTTCGCGTCATGCATATCGTCCTCCGAATCCATGGCAAACCTTTATAGAGAAAACCCCTGTAAAATCTCAGACTCGATGGTCCCACAGCCACAACAAAAGAGAAAGAAGACTCGGCGGCAAATTAGGGCACACAGACTACTGATCGGATTCGGAAAAAACGAAAGAGAAAGAAGACTCGGATTCAGAGAATGTTTGACGAGCGTGGAGTTTGTTTCTCAGCCGTCTTTTCGCGAGAGAATGAAGGGGCTTTTCCCAAATTAAAGCAAAATAACATAGGCTTTTCCCAATTTAATTTATCATTTTAATTTTTAAATTAAGTCAATTTGGATAGAATTCATAAGGTAAGTTAAAGCGCTATTATAAATTATGTTTTCACTGTTTGAGGTCGGAAAGTTGATGAATAATGAGAATGTTGTTAGAAATTACGTTTTTAATTAAGAACGCGTGGTTGTAAATTACGCTTTTAACATAAATTTTTTTTGAATAAAATATGGTTTCAAACCACACTTTCACTGTGCATGTCATTTAATTTATTTTCTGAACCACGCTTTCACTATGCATATTGTTTAAGTTTGTTTTCTGAAAAAAACGTGATTGTAAATCACGCTTTCAATGTTCACTGCAAGAAGCGTGGATTGAAACCACGCTTTCACTGTTCACTACAATAAGCGTGGATTGAAACCACGCTTTCACTGTTCATTTAATTTTTTTTTTCTGTTGCCATTGTTTTGATGATAATGTAATTCATTAAAAAAAAAAATTCTTTTGTCTTTGTTTTGGGTTAGAATGTGTAATTCAGAATTTTTTTTTGTCTTTACTAAAACCGTTTTCATGTAAATTTTTTTTGTTTTTTGTTTTGTCTTTATTTTGGGTTAAAATGTGATAATGTAATTCATAAATTTCTTTTTGGCTTTACTAAAGACGTTTTCATGTTAAATTTTAAATTTTTTTTCTTTTGTCTTTGTTTTGAGTTAGAAGGTGTTATTCAGAAATTTATTTTGGCTTTCTTAAAGCCATTTTCATTTAAATATATATATTTTTTATTTTGTCTTTGTTTTGAATTAGAAGGTGATAATGTAATTCAGAAAACCGGTTTAGTAAAACCGTTTTCTAGCCGTTTTCATTAAAAAAAAAAAAATCCTTCTGTCTTTGTTTTGGGTTAGAAGGTGATATACATGCTCTACAGTCCGAAACACACCTACACACTGTGCAATTCGACGAACAACGACGAAGGGTGAGACGCAAAGAGCACCGCGGAGTAGGCCAAGAAGACGAAAGCCACCGCGAGAGCTGCAGCAAAAAGGAATAAGAGAAAGATCTCAAATTTTGGTAATGTATTTTTTACATACGAATGGTACTTTTTTCGTTTTTTGCTATGTAATGTAACTTGTGTATAATTTGAATTCTGATTACGAACAGGAACTTATGTAATGTAAATATTGGGTTGGAGTTGATGTTCTTGTGATTCAATTGGTTTCGCTTATTTCATAAGACTGATGTTGTGTAATGAATGAATGAATGTATAAGTTATTTGTTTTATTCAATTGGTAGTGTAGTTTTTTGTAAGAATGATAACGTTATTTGTTATATTCAATGAATAATGGTTACATTATTGGGTTCTCACAATTGAGAAGATGAACAAGTTAAGAGAATGTGTATTTCTCCTAAAATACATTTTGTCAACATTTTTGTAATAAAACTTAATACATAATATACGAAATCACTAATTTACTAAATACTCATACAGGCGTAAAAACAACATAACTGAAGTTGCAAATGTAACAGTTTTCAGTTACATAGGTAGTACAGACATAAGTCTTCCACAAAAATATATTCTGGACACCATGAACTGAACACACAATACATACATCCTAGACACCCTGAACTGAACACACAATATATAAACATAATAGTTAGATAGACAAATATTAAGCAGACAATCTGACAAACTCATTACGAAAATACTTAGTCTAACACAGACATTACATATTAATGCATGACCTAATATTGCCGAAGTGTAGACATTAACACCTAATTCGCGCTTAAATCGGCAGGTGGCTCAGAGTCTGAATAATCTGAAAGCTCAGCGTCAGAAACAAGTTCAGGATCCTCCGTGATACCCTTGATAGCCGCAACATTTGGTTCTATTCTGTTCTTCTGGGCATCCTTCTTAACTATGTATAACTGCATATCGCGGGCTAACCTACGGCGCATTTGAGAAATCTCACGTTGTAGTCTTTCACATAGTCTTTCCATTTGCACTCGCTCTATAAATAGTGCAGGCCACTTGAGACGAGCAGCGTCAGATAAATCATATCCTGTTTGATTGTCAGATGACTCCATACATGAACCTCCTTGAACTCGATAATACTTGGGCATAAAAAAATGTCGCTTCCCAAACCTATAACGATAACCACAAGCATAATCTAAAGCAAGTATTCTCACTCCCTCCCATGAATCATCTTCAGCATCGCCACGTCCCCTTTTCCCCTCCTCGTCGTGAACTGTCACCCTTTTGCAAGTTCCTACCACCTCTGCGAGTCCCACTCCCTCCCATGAATCATGTAGCCATGTTAATTTTTTAAAACAAATGAATGATAATTTTGTAGGGCAAAATGAGTTGAAAGGTTGTGTCTTCACCTTTAGTCGTTTATATAGTTGGTTATAAACGGCTTTAGAAAGATGCCTGTGCATGACAATCCCACATATACGAACAAGGTATGAGTTGTCACTAGAATGAAAAAACAGAGAAAAGCAAATACTGTATACCAAGTCACGTGACTTGACAATCCATCTGCATATACCGACAAAATAAGGGCATGCTCACTGTAAGGTAAATCAGTAAATTCATTGTTGCCATGTAACTTTCTGAATTGAGAATCCCACATATATCAATAAGAGATGAGTTGTCACTGTAATAAAAAAATCGAGCAAAAAATTGAGAAAACCAAAGCCTGTGCACCAAGTCACATGACTTGATAATCTATCTGCATATACGGACAAAATAAGGGCATGCTCACTATAAGGTAAATCAATGAATTCACTGTTGTCATGTGACTTTCTGAATTGAGAATCCCACATATATCAATAAGAGATGAGTTGTCACTGTAATAAAAAAGGAAGCTTATGTAGGCAATGTTGTGTTTCACTTAGCTATGCATCATTCGTTGTTACGACCAACTATTTGTATTTCATTGAAAAGTATGACTATTTAAATTTTTGTTGTCATTTGGAATTATTTTAAAATCAACTTTTGAATATTCAATTTGTAATATTTTGGAAAACATTTACAATCTCAACTTTTGAAATCAACTTTAAAATAATGGTGGATCTTGTGAGTGAAACGTAGGTTAGGTAGGAGTACTTGGCCACTAATGTTTGTGAATATCATGGTGCATTCAAATTTGTCCAGAAAACTGGTGTATTCAAATCTGTCCAGAAAACTGGTGTTACACAGTAATTTCGGAAGTGTTGTTCTCTTTGGGTATAAATTCGAAAAATATCAAATTAGTGTCATTAGAACTGGTTACAAGTCTAGTTTCTTACATTTTTGGCCTTGCGTTAATTGTTATTCTATACTAAGAAAATCGTCAATTTCTTTAAAAAGGTGCAGAAAACAATATGTTTGGGTATAATTAACTATAAATAGTGATTTTCACAAGCAAATCAAGTAAACCCAATTGGGTTTTAAACTTAGTCCCCCAACTGGACCAACCACTTGGCTTTGAGCTTGTTTGTCCAGCCCCCGAAGTTTAATTTTCTGTCAACCCCCCATTCTAACCAGAGTTAACATTTTGACTGGACTTCCAGGAATTGGAAGGCGACTCTTTCTTCTTTCCTGATGGAGATTGAAATTCTTTACGTAGAGGATCCCTATTTCATGAGCCCCAGTTAAGGGAAGCTTTTCACTGAGCTACCTATTTTGTTTTATGTGTTGTTGAAGGCTGTAGTTCATTTGTTTGAACTTTATTAGTCCCCCAACTAGACCAACTACTTGGCTTTGAGCTTGTTTATCCAGCGCCCGAAATTTAGTTTTCTGTCAACCCCCCATTCCTTATTAGAGTCATCATTTTGACTGGACTTCCAGGAATTGGAAGGCGACTCTTTCTTCTTTCCTGATGGAGATTGAAATTCTTTACGTAGAGGATCCCTATTTCACGAGCCCCAATTAAGGGAAGCTTTTCACCGAGCTACCTGTTCTATTTTATGTGTTGTTGAAGGCGATAGTTCGTTTGTCTGAACTTTATTAGTCCCCCAACTGGTCAACCACTTGGGTTTGAGCTTGTTTGTCCAGCCCCCGAAGTTTAGTTTTCTGTCAACCCCCCATTCCTTACCAGAGTCATCATTTTGACTGGACTTCCAGGAATTAGAAGCCGACTCTTTCTTCTTTCTTGATGGAGATTGAAATTCTTTACGTAGAGGATCCCTATTTCATGAGCCCAAGTTAAGGGAAGCTTTTCACCGAACTACCTGTTCTGTTTTATGTGTTTTAAGTATTCACATAATTCAACATACATTAATCCATTCATTAATCCAGAACATTCATTAACTCATTGCAATTCAATAAAGAAAGTCATGAACTAATAAATGTGTAGTTATAAATGTAGTTATTTCATAAACTTCAGGTTCATAAAACAAATACTTGAAATACATCCATATGTTAGATGAACAACAACATTGTCTTACACTCTAGTAACGAAGATACGACACAACATACAAACATATATGAAAGATAAAGGTGTTTAATTTCTCATTCTTCATCTGATATGTAGTAGTCAAAGAGATATTTTTCATGGTTAGTAGAGACCGATCTTCGGATCGGGCGAGAGGGGGTGCTCATAGCTGACCTTCCCCAATCGTACCCAAGTTCCTGAGCCGAGGCAACTTTGGTGATGACGGACACGTGGCCTTAGGCAACGAGTTAGGGTTTCCTAAATTTTCCAAAATAAAATATTTAGGTGGCGACTCTGTATCTGGCAAAGCAGTCCATGCTTGGCACTTCTTTCACTCACATTTCGTCTAGCCATGGTCAATGAATGACGATAAGGTACCGGTGCCCCAAAGTTACATAGATCATTAAACATTCCTTCTTGCTCCGTTACCCTAAACGCCAATTCTGCTCGGATACCAGCATAATAATCCTTCGGACTCAAGTACTTTTCGCTCTTGTTGTCATAAGTAAATGGAGGTAGCTGCCACACTTTTGGATTTCTTTGTTGGCGTAAACTTCCTACATCTCTTGAAGACATTGTTCATAAAATAAA